AGTAAATGAATGAAAAGCAGTAGCACCAAGGCATGAAATTTCACATCAAGCTGAGCAACAGGCTTTGGGAATAATATATTTTTGGTTTTGATTTTTGTTTTCTCCTTTTTTAAACGAATAAAGTCACATGTAGGTTACAGATCAAACACTTGGAGAAACTGGAAAGCCTGTAAGTTCCAGGGAAACTTAGGATTGACTGATGTACGTCATATTCTTGAGGCGTATGTGTGCCTGCGTGAGTGTATGGAGGTCATTCAAGGAGGCTGGGGTGGAAAGCTCCGCTCTGACTCCAGTTCCACCTCTCTTGGGTCTCTGGTTTCACTCTAAGGGGGTGCCCTTGCATTTCATCATCATCGCAGGTGGAACTGGCTGTTACTGGGAATAAAAGAGAGTTTATGGGAGGACAAGGTCTGTCTAGCAGTAGCAAAACAGCCAGGAGAGGAAGTTTGCTTTCCTGGAGGAGCTGGGTGGAAATGTTCAGATAAAGACCACTTAATTTCAGGATTTTCTCTCTCAAAACTTTATCTACTTTTACTTTCTATCTTTTTATGTATCAATCTACTTTTCCCATCATTGCCTTCCCCCGATACTCATCTGGAGTGTTCTTGACCTATTCAGATCCGAATCTTCACTTTTCAAGACACTGCTTTTCCAGGAAGCCTTCTTCAACCTTCCAGCCTGCCATTCAGCTTCTGTGGACCATGTAGTTTAAGTTTCTCTCTCTAACCTGAAAGATAGATAGCCTGGAACTTCCAAATAGCAATTAAAGCATAACTATCTTGCCTTCCCTACTAGACTGCAAATCTTTGAAGGGCAAGAGTACTCCTTGGGGTTTTCCCTTGGTCCCAGAACCATGTTGTAGAGCTATTATATATATATATATCATCTGTGTACATACTTATGTATAATTATATATGAATATATATAATATATATATATAATTGAATTGGTCTTTATGATTCACAGTGTGAACTGTAAAATGGAGACAATGAATTGACTCAGGTGTCAGGAAGATGAAAGTAGCCTATGCAGTAACAGAAACTTTCAGGTAGAATAGTATGAATCACTGGAAAGAAATGATCATATAGTTTCCTGCACAGTTTTTGTTTTTAGACACAGTTGGTTACATTCTTTGGTTCTTCATATAGTTTATTTTGGACAAGGTGAATAAAGGAAAACTTTGGTGTATAATTTCTTCATAGGTTGCTATGGCTGGTGGTGACAGTGGATGGTGGGGGAAATATGGAAAAATGAAACAACTCTTCAGTGGTTTCTGCCAGTTTATATTTTTTTTACGGAAAGAGTCTATTTTTCACTTCTTAGTAACAAGGAGGGATAATGACACATCTGTAAAAATAAGAGACCTGTGGCAGAGATCAGGATGCTCTTCCACGTGAGGTGATTTCCCCATTAAAAGGAAACTCTTGCTTTGTTCTCCAGGACTCTGTCTGCACAAGAACAAGCTTAGAGAAGAACGAGAGACTGGCTTATACCACGCTTTCCAGTCTATAACATGCTGATCTTTTTTTTTTTTAAGATTTATTTATTTATGTATACAAGAGATGGGTGCAGGCCAGAGATGCCGGGTGGTGAGAGGATTCACTAGAGACAGAGCGGGGAACAGAACAGGCAGACTGACTGAAATACACTGCTGAGGGGAGCAGAGGGCGAGTCAGGAAAGGTCTGCTGCACCACGTGGGTAGCTCCCTGGCTGGGGATCGAACTCATGCTGCAGTGGCTGCAGACAGCTTCATAGTGCTGTGTCTTAACCCCTTGCACCACCAGGGAAGCCCAACATGTCAATCTCCTTCCAAATGGTGACTGTGGAAAACAGTTCACCTAAGCAATTGGAAGTCATATGGTCCCCATAATATGCTGCCTTCCCACTTAAATAGCCTGTATTCTATGTTCTCAGTCTTCTAATATCCTCACATCCTTAATTTAACATATATAAAGAACATTATCTGCTATGTTCAATTGAAAGTTAGAAAGTAGATACTGTCAAAGCAAGGAATAGCCTGCATCATTTTTAGAGTTATTTTTTGGTTTGGTGTTATGTTGAGGTGCTTTTTTCCTAATTACACTATACCTGGACAAAATGCCTCATAATTTAATCTATTTCATAGTTTTCAAAGTTTTTTTTTATATGCACCAATTTTTATTCCCATTCCATTGTAGAATTATAAGACATTTGTTTTCAGTCCTCTTCTCTTTTTTATAAACTTTCTTTTTTTTAGTTAACTTTCAGGAGCTCACTTGTTCAGTTCATGGCGAATTAAGTTTCAGAATTTCATGATAGGTCACCTCTCTCTGGATGATCTCTTCCACACCCCAAAAAGTCAAATATATATTGCTAACTCAAAACTTGTCTCTCTTCTACGCTCCCTCTCTCTCTCTCTCTACACACACACACACACACACACACATACACACACACACAATCTAAATGAATGAAAGTTTCAGAATACGGAGGAATGGAGATACAAAGAAACATTTCCACGCAGTACATTTTTCTGTAATAACAGGAAAGAGAGAGACTAGAGGTCAGGTTTGACCACATTTGTCTGATATATTCTGCTTAATATATCTTGCCTAATGCCTGGCATATAACTAGAAGTTCAATAGTCTTTGAATAAATAAACATATGTTAATAATGAATAAAACATAATACTTAACTTAGTGGCCCTTCTAAACCTGCACAATATAGAACAAGTCACAAACATAACTGTAATTTTAAATATATAATGTAATTTTAAATATATAAATATTATGCATTGAATTTTAAATGTAATTTTACATTTTCTTGGAGTCATGTTTAAAAATGTAAAAAGAAACAGGTAAAGTTAATTACAATAATATATTTTATTTAACCCTAAATATTGTCATTGTAGTATATAATCAGTGTTTTATGCTTTTTCATTTCAAACTAAGTCTTCAAAATCCAGTGTGTGTTTTATGTCCACAACACATTTCATTTAAGTTTAGCTACATCTCAAGTTCTTATAGCCACACACAGTTGGTGGCTACCATATAGGACAGCATCTCTCTAAAACATTTGGTTTTCCTGTACATTTTTCAAATGAATATGTGACCTGGAACCTATGATGAAATGAACATTTGGTAAAGAGCATAGCCAGCAACTGCAAATCCACTACATCCTTCATTCTTTGCCCTTTCTAAGAAGTCATATTTTTTTACGCTGATGTCTGCCATGTATTCAAATTCCAGTCACTGAGGACCTATGGTCTAAGCAATCCCTCACCATGGAGAACATAAAACAAAACTGGGACCACAGACCCAGTGTTGTTATTTCTGTTATCAACCCACCTGAAGGGTAGAAACAGTTTTTAAAGTACCTGTTCTTGATTTGAGATCTTGAAAGAAGGAAGGTGATTGAAGGATTTCTGGTTTTACATCATTGGCATGCTCCTAATGAGCCACTAATCATTTCAGGTATAACATATGCAGCCTGTATATATTTACATGCATTAGCACTGGCTGGTGACAAGAAGCAGTTCCTTAATAAAGCATTCAAGACAAATTCTCTGTGACTACTGGGAAAGCCATTTATAAACACATGTGTAATTTTAAAATTAATCAAATTCATTCCTTGATCTGTGCTGCACATGGTGAATAACATCATACAAGTTGTATGCTTAATATTGTATATTTTCATTTATAACTCTAGGGATCTTAAAGCTACATACAAACTGAATTCACTCATTCATTCTATTCATTTATTCATTTTCCCAATATTTACTTAGTGCTTTGATGTATATTGTGCCACGCTGGTGACTGAGGACACAGTGACCACTGGTATCTGTTCTTCAGAGTGTAGGCATATTACTACGAGGACATAACTCCTGCATATTACTTACTCAAGGATTTTTACATACAGTATTTTACAGACATAGAAAAATAGGCTAGTAATCAAATACAGTAGTTATTTTTCATAGGCATGTAGAAGTTCCCCATGTTAACAATGCCAGCAAAATATCCTCTTAGAGAAGGTCACTTTCACAGTTGGTGCACATGTGTTTGAGCAACAGTTCTTTTTTTTTTTCCTCAAATTCTTTTTTATTTTTGCATAGACGGTCTGGGGTATAGGCTAGAGGTGTGGGGAGGGTGAGAGGATTCATCAGAGACAGAGTGGATTTACGCTGGGAAACAGAACAGGTGGATTTACTGAAATACACTGCTAAGGGGAGCATAGGGTGAGACAGGCGAGGTCTGCTGCACCATATGTGGGTTAGCTCCCTGGCAAGGAATTGAACTCCAGCTGTAGTAGTGAGAGCACTGAGTCTTAATCTCTAGGCCATTGGGGAGGCCCCATCAACATTTCTATCAACCATGTTACAGTCTTAGTGCTTCCCCCAACATCACCTGTTCTCAGTCTCTAGACAATCAAAGTGGAGGGAGTGGGAGAAGCAATACTTCATCTACTGCAATTCTACCGCAAACCTTCACTGAGGCCACCTGGGACTGCTGAGGCTTACGTGCCCACATTTCCTGCTCCCCCAGTGGAAAAGACCCCACCGAGGACTCTGATGCTCCCTCATGAGCTTGCCAGCATTGTTTCTTTCTCTAACTTGCTGTTTCTCTTAGTCTCTGTTGTCCCTGTAGCAGTTCCTTGGCATCTTTTGGGTGCTTCCAGGTCTCCATAACTCACCTTTGTTTTAGTCAGATTTAGCAGAACAGACACACACACAGTAGAAGTACCAGGACCCCTAGCAATCAGTTCTTTCAGATGGTTGTCCTCCACAGTCTAAGCAGGGTGCATAGTTCCTAGAGAAGGGGCTGCATCAGAGAGGGTTAGAAGTAGTCCCTTACTGTAAGTTTCCAGAATCATTTGTCCCCTCTCTAGACAGTCTTTGCTCCACTACTGGGTCTAACTCATCTTGCCAGACACATACTGCAAAAGAGTTATTATTTTTTTTCTCTTTGTTTTTCTATTATCCAACTGCATTCTGGATTTAATGAAGTCTTCTCTCCTCCCTTAGGTGGGCTGATGTGTGAATACATTTAATTGCAATAGTGAACAAGACTTCAAGATTTCTTCTTAGATCATCTTGGCTTTCGGTTAGACACTTTTTGAAGTGTTCCTGATTTTGGGTGGTGGGTAAGGTGTCTGTGTCAATCCAGAGTACATGGAATGTGCTGATTCTACCTTTTCAAGCCAAGTGGTTGCCTCATTGAGAAAGGAGCATTAGGAGAAAGGGAATTTTAATGTATGTGATCATTAAGCTAAGTAACAAGACATTGATCCATTCTTTGAAAACCTAACTACTTCTTTAGCAGCTAATAAGTATTTATTATGTATCTACTCTTTGAATCCAGGCTTTCATTAGGCTAAGCTTTTAGAATAGGGAATATATTCTTAGATCATGGTATTCAAGGTGTATTTTTTTGAAAAAATAAATAAGAGAATATGTTATATGAGATTGAATATTCCCATTGACTTTAATGGTCATTGCATGGAATCTTTCTCATATGGCAATTAGTAGGAAAACTGTGATAAAATCCCCAACTTTCTATTCCACATGCATTTTGGTTTATCAGTACAACACCTTTGTGACTTTTATTTTCCTAGGAAATTGCCAAAATTTAGTAGGTGAATCTATAATCACATGAATTTAGATATCCTCTCAGGAATATAGATAGATAGATCAATCGATGTATAGACAGAAATATATATAGATACAGATAATAGATAATATGTATATATAATACTATGTTACTAGAGTTTCTGTAAACATCATGATATTTGCTTCTGAATCAGCAGTTCTAACAATGCTAAACTGAAAAATTCAAACAAAAATTTGAGTTCTGTAATATTTCTGATAGTCCAAAGTCTTACAGTCCCTCCCATTATGGCTCTCTGCTTTCTATAAACCTTGGTAGTTATCACCACTGATAACAGGGCATATTAAACTCTTGAATTTGATATAAACCATAATATTATCTTTAAATGATTCAGTAGGGAGTACTCCTGAGTGAATCATCTGCTTCCACTCTTCTCTAAACTGTTGGGATGGGTAATAAGGGGTGACATGCTGAGAACTGTAGCACTTGGCATCCTTCTTAAAATGAGTCCCAATCTTCCCCAAGTAATTTCATGCAAGATGCAATCATCCTTAAACTTTTCAGGACATTAAATGGTACCCTATTAATCTGTAAGTATCTTTCTAATTGCCACTTTATATCACCTCCCATAGGCATTGTGAAAATATAGATGATTAAGTAGAAAAACAATGCACAAATGCACAGTCATTACTTACCTACTTATACATTTTCCACTCCTATCCACAATGGAGGAAAATAAGATTGAGAAAAGGATATCAGGGTACATGCCTCTAGGCCTGGCTTCTCTTCCAAACCTTGGACTCTCTCCCAGACTCCAGTTTTACCAACCTACCTGGGAAAGTAAACAGCCAAGTGATTTTCTGAACATTTCTGCCAGACCATCTTAAAGATTCCGTATCAGCACTTGTGTTTGTATGTTCTTGAAGTGTCAGAGCCAAGAAAGTTTTATATCACCTCACGGTGACTTGACCAAAAATCCAACGGACTTTTATTCCCCCAAGTGATTTACTTTGCCATTTATTTTCAGTTCTAGCATGAAATGGTATGATGAATAAGTTGCAGTCCTAACAATCCACTGCCTCAATGTGGCAGCGGACAGGAGCCTATGTGTTCTCAACTTGGTGACAGTCATTATGTGGCAGGGCTTGTCAGAAGCACAGACAGGGCCTCAGGTTGTTAAGTGTAGGCCTGGCTCTTCCAGATGAATGGGAACTGACAGGAGTGATCTCTGTAACATGGAAAAGAGTGATGACATGAGAACAATGACGTGTTTGGGATTGAGCACAGATATGTCACTCATAATGACCAGAGAAATGATAGGGCACTTGCATTAACTTCACTTGATTTTTTTTTTAAAGATGATCTTTGTGCTAAGAACCAGAGCAAGTAGAGAGTCATGAATTGGAAAAACCAATCCCTCCCAGACCATTACTTAAGCAAAGGTGCACTAATTGGTATTTTGTGATACTAAAACAGTGATTCTTAGCCCTGCTCATTCAAATCCTGCCCACCTTTCAACCCCCATCCTGTTCTGATTTAATTGACCTTGAGTGGGACACAGGCATTGATAAGCCCCCAAATTTCCCCTGACAATTCTGACACAGGGCAGTGGCTGAGGACCACTGCATCAGAAGACCCCAAATAAATATCCTGAAAAATGGGCATAATTTGTACCACAATAATTTTCACCACTATATTGCCCAAGAAAGTCAAATATCTCTTATTTTATGTAATATACAAGAATTGCTATTTTACATACATATGAGACTATTATTATATTTTTAAATGTCGTGACCTGAAAACTCAGCAAGGTTAAAAGAATTAGGTTGACTCATCCAACAAGTCATTCGGTTGTGTAAACACACATTTCACCACTTTTCTTCCTCTCCAGTGACCTTTCTTTGAGTGAGAAGTTAATATTGATTGTGAACTCCAAATAAACAAGTGATACTTGACCCTAGTCCAATATGAACTTTAAAGATAGGAGAGAAAAAGGGACATGACACCTGTTTATTCAACAATAAAATTATGCTGGTCTTTTTATTTGGTGGTGATGCAGACCTATTGACATTAGAAAAGGCAAATACTTTCAAATTTTCATTTAACTGAGGCAATTGCTTTCACACTTGCTTTGACTCCCACATATTGTGACTCATGCATGGGGAAGAGCAGGGGGTGGGGTGGATCAAATTATAACAAAGATCAATAATGAGTTGATTCCTTCCTCTTCCACTGCCCTCTTGCCTCTCATTTGGGATTGAGCTCCCAGTTCAAATGCTATCTCCCATAAAGATCCAAGAGATCTTTTTCACCCCGTATATTTTCCTAAGGTTATTTATATTTTAAACATTATCTCTAGTATAAATTGAAAATAATGCTGAGAGAAAAAACAGGTTAGTAATACAGATAGTTATATTAGACAGATATACCAGATAGTAGATAGATTAATGAAATAGGCTGTTTAGACTATGAAGAATGGTCATTTCATTTTGTGGTTGTGGGGACCAACAATTTTGATTGAGAAATATGATGGCCATTGAGATATTATTTTCCAAATATAAAAGTTTTCAAACTGTAAAATTTATTTTCTTAAAATACTCCAGGGCATGACAGCAATTAGAAATATGCACCTGATTTATTTCCAAACACCCATGAAAACAGAAAAATGTTAATGTCACAAAGTTTCTCATCAGAACAATATAATGGAAGTACCAACCTTAACTTTAAAATGGGTAGGATGATATTCTGCTCCCCACTCTGTCTCTGGTGAATCCTCTCACCCTTCTGTGCATCTGGCCTGAACCCCAGTTCTTGTATAAATAAAATCTTTAAAATTGGTAGGATGAATTGGCAAATCTTATTCATCAACTAGTGCAAACCCTAAAGTAACTCAGCTAAACAGGTAAGTAATGGTAAAAGATTAGATAAGCCCATAATCACCCCCCTTCATACTTGGTTCAGCCCCCAAATTCTCTTACATCAGAGAATTAATATGTACCATCAACAACTTAACCTGGGTTTGATATCACTAATTCAGAAACTCAGAGGTGTCTTCTGCCTCGCTGAGTTCTCTATTTCAACCCCATTAGTACCTCTGTGTGGTTCCTCTTTGAGGAAGTATGACAATTATTCTGAAGTAGCCAGGAGTAAATGGTCAGGAAAACTCACATCCAGCTTTCTGGAATGTGCATCCAGAACTAGATGAGGCAGAAACAGGCAGGACATGGGGCACTGTAAAACATTGAGTAAAGGAAAACCAGAGTGCTTTAAAATACCAGGAATACTAATGAGCCTCCCAAAGACAGAACTAGCAAAGTGAATTCACCAACCATGTTTAAGAAAATAATTTAAGAAATCTTTGATGTTTCTGGTGTACAGAAAAAAATATAAGTAGCAGATGAGGAAAAGAGTTATTCATTCTTCATTTTTCTTTTTATTCTACTTTTTTCATTTATAGCTCATAAATAAAAGTAAACTAATTTAAAGAAATGAATTTAGGCTAATTTCAGATTCTCTTCCAGACAGGAAAAATTCACAATTTGAAAATATTCTATTTTAATCATAAACAGATGTGGAACTTATAATGATTTATGGCACTACAATGTTAATTAAAAAAGACTTCTCAAAATTTTAAGATGGCAGCAAAAGAGGTACTCATTGTTGGAGCTGGTATATATGGGTAGAAGCATTTTGGAAAATAATTTGGCAATTTGTGTCAAGACTCTTCAAACAGTAGGTTCAACTTAGAAGAAATCTATTCTCAGGAAGAATCAAAGTTGAAGAAAGATTTGAGTATAAAGAGATTTAGTTTATCATTACTAGATATATTAAAAATAACATGTATAACATGAATAGAAGTATGATAACAACCTATAAGATTATTATACAGTTATTTATAATGTTGCCAAGTAATATTTCACAAAATTGTAGACGAATCTATAAACTATTATATATATTATTAATTATTAACTATTATTAATCTATAAACTATTATATATATTATATACATATATATGTCCAAGTACATATATATGTGTGTATGTATAATACAATACCAAATTTTAAAAATCCACATGGAATAATATACATTTGACAGTACCTATTTCATTTTAAAAACATGGAAAATTCTTGGAAGGAACTTAATATCTCTTGTGGTGTTATCAAGGGTTATCTTTCCATGATGTAATCACAAGTAATTTTTAATTGTTATACTGTGTTATATATTTAAATTTTTCTATCATAAGCTGGTGATAGTTACATGAAGAGTAATTATATTTTAAGTAATAAAATATTCTTCATCAGATAAATTCAATATCTTGTATTCTTATCTGAGATATGAGATAGCAAAAGACTCTTAAAAGGAATCATAAATGGGGTCTCCCTGGTGGCACAAGGGGTTAAGCACCACACTATGAAGCAATCCACAGCATCCGCAGCATGAGTTTGATCCCTGGCTGGCCAGGGAGCAACCCACATGGCACAGCAGACCTCTTCTG